GGCCCTTGGCCAGCTGGAGCTGCAGCTTTGCCTTGCTGGGGACACAGCTCATCCCAGGGTGGGCTGGTGGGAGGTAGGAATGGGTGTCAGCTTCCACCTATGGAGTGTTTTCCGAGGATGCTGCTGGGTAAACATCCCCCTGCCCCAGCTCAGGCGTGGGGAGATCTCAGTGTGTGGGGGTCGGCCAGGAATCCTAGAATTCCCAGAGGTGAAGTGATGCAGATGTCAAGCCTTTATCATGGATAAAGGATCTCCCATGGCTCCTCTCCCCTGAGAAAAGCCCTTTTCAGTCTTGCTCTGATGCAGAGACAACACAGCATCCCACAGACCTTGTGGGACCCTCCTCCCCTCTCCCACACCCAGCATGCAATGTTTGTGGGGAAGAAGCCAACACAGAGCTCACTCCCTGTGGAGAATGTGCAAAAAACGAGGCATCCTTAGCCTGAATTCAAAAACTCCACAACCTTTTGGAAGAACTTCAGCCAAGGCTGGAAATGGGCCTGGAAAGCTGCCATGGTGTGTGTGACACCGGGAAGGTCACCTGGCCAGCTGCTGGGGAGCAGAACTTGGGAGGCTTATTTCAATTAATGGTCCCAACTGAGCTGTCCCAGCAGCCCCAGGCTCCAGCCTGAGCCAAGCCAGATGTGTGACAGTGAGCATCCCCCAGATGTGTGACAGTGAGCATCCCCATGCCTGGGGACCCCCAGGACACCTGCATTGGTCCCATCCAGCTGCTGTGGGGCTGCCAAAACCCCAACCAAGCTGGTGTCAGCTCAACCCAGGACAGGCTGGGAAGCACCCAGTGATGGTGTTGGACATGCTGGATGGCTCTAACACCTGGCACCAGGGCTGGCTTGTCTCCACAGCCCCCTGAGCTGTGATGTGCCCCTGCCAAGGAAAGCTGAGCAGATCCCACCATCCCAACCTCCCACTGGAATGGTGGGTGTGAACTGGGTCCCCTTCCAGCAACCAGGATTGGGTGCTCATGGAGGTTCCCACCCCACCACTGAGGTCCTGCTGCCTCCCTGCCATGCATGTCCCCCCAGTGTCCCATCCTTCAGTGTCCCATCCCCTCAGTGTCCCGTCCCTCGGTGTCCCGTCCCTTCAGTGTCCCGTCCCTCAGTGTCCCATCCCCTCAGTGTCCCGTCCCCTCAGTGTCCCATCCCCTCAGTGTCCCGTCCCCTCGGTGTCCCGTCCCTTCAGTGTCCTGTCCCCTCAGTGTCCCGTCCCCTCGGTGTCCCATCCTTCAGTGTCCCATCCCTCAGTGTCCCATCCCCTCGGTGTCCCGTCCCTTCGGTGTCCCATCCCCTCAGTGTCCCATCCCCTCAGTGTCCCATCCCCTCGATGTCCCGTCCCTCAGTGTCCCATCCCCTCGGTGTACCGTCCCCTCGGAGTCCCGTCCCTCGGTGTCCCATCCCCTCAGTGTCCCGTCCCCTCAGTGTCCCATCCCCTCAGTGTCCCGTCCCCCTGGTGTCCCGTCCCCCTGGTGTCCCGTCCCCTCGGTGTCCTGTCCCTCGGTGTCCCATCCCCTCGGTGTCCCATCCCCTCAGTGTCCCATCCCCTCAGTGTCCTGTCCCCCCGGTGTCCCGTCCCCGGTGTCCCCGCAGTGGCAGCGGGAGGTCACGCCTGGCCGGCGGCGGGCCCGCCATCCGGCTCAGCTGAAGCACATTTTGTATTTTGTCCGGCGCTTCCTGCATCCTGCCCCATCCCCAGGCCGGGGGGGCAGGTCAGCCCGGGGTCAGCCGCTAATTGCAGCCCGGGGGACGGCGGGACGAGGCTGGGACCAGCGCCAGGCTGAGACCCGGCACGGGGACATGGAATGGGGACACCCTGCAGCTGAGCCCGGCACCCCACAAAGTGCTGGGGTGCCCCTGTGACAGGGCAGGACATGTCTCTGGCACCACTGTGAGGGTTCCAGCTCCTGCTGCAGCTCACCCCAGAATCCATCCTGTCCAATCCAGGCTACTCCACGTGGAAAACATCCCTGCTGGATCAGCCCAGGGTCTGGCCTTACCTGGCATCACCTGCTGGCACCTTCCCACGCCACCAAAGCCAAGCGGGGTTGGGGACACGGCTGTGCCCTCTGTGACAGCACACCCTAGGGCCACTGGCAGGTTTGGTTGCCCTTCTGCTAACTCTGTCTAATGAGGATGTTAATTAGGAGAGACTCGAGGCCAGCCCTTGTGGTAGCGCCCAGGGTTGTCCCTCAGCGCCGTGCCGAGCTCGTTATCATCATCCCGGGTGCCCTGTGTCACCTGGCTGCCAGCAGGTACCCTGGGGACAGCAGCCCTGGGTGCCACTTCCCCAGCAGCAGCCGTGGGGACAGCCCAGCACAGGGCTGTGCCTGACAGAGGGGGAGCAGGGAGGAGGGGATGGGTTCACCCTCGGGGGATGCCTGAGGTCCTGCTCGTTAGGCAAAGCTCCAGGCCAGCACAGGGCCACCCTCCCACACACTCACCTGGGAGGCAGGGATGGAGCCCAGCACGGGGGTGAGCTGCAAGTGGGGTGGAGGGCAGCCAGCACCCCATATCCCACCACCCCTCCTCCCCATCCCACTCACAGGCAGGGTTTGAATCCCACATCTGATCCTTTTCTCCCTAAGCTGTTTACCTGCGTGGGGAAGCCCCTGCTCCCTTTGTCCCCTGCTAATGTCCATGTCCTCCCTGGCAGCTCCATATCCCTGCTATCTCTCTCCTCCCCTGCTAACACCCATGGTCCCTGGCAGTGCCCTGCCAGCCTGGCACAGCGGGGCTTGCTGTGCCATGATGGCATTTCCCCAAGCATTGCTCCGTGCCAACAACAGCCCTGAGCACAACCCTGTAATGGGTGACACAGCCAGAGCAGGGTGACATTCCCAGCAGCCCCAGCCCCAGCTGTGGGTGGGATGAAGCAGCCCTTGCCCTACAGCTCCCCAGGGGATCAGGGCTGGGGAGGGGGCTCTGTGTGCTGCTCCCCAGGACACTCTCCCAGCATGGGGCAGGGGCTGGCTCCCTCCAGGTGCCAGGACTGTGCCTTCACACAGCCCCAGCCCTTAGCCACAGTCATAAAGCAAGCAGCCAGACTCCTTTTTCCCAGCACACCCCCACCACATTCCTGCTAAGTGCTTTCGGCTGTGGAGCAGCACGGCTTGGGAACCAGCTCCCAGCAGCCCCTTGCCAGTGCCATACACCAGAGCCCTGCTGGGGCACGACCAGGGTCTGTCTGTCTGTCCCTGCAGGCCTCCAGCTGTGTCACTCACCACACTGGCCCAGCTCCATCACTGTCACCATGGGCTGCAGTGGTTCCCACACCCAGCCCAGGGCTCAGCACTGCTGTGACCAGGGTGCCTGGGCTCCAAACCACCCCGAGCTGCAGGAGCAGTGGGGGGAATGCTGCTAGAGAGGGCATCTGGGGCAGCTTTCCCTAAGGACTTTCTGCTCCGTGCCAGCAGGTCGCTGCTGGGCAGGGACAGAGCCCACGCACCGCCGTCACCCCCCTCCTGCGGGCGCACATCTGGCCAGCAGATGCTGGCCCAAACGCTGGCTGGAGCTGGGGACAAAGGCTCTCGCTCCCTCCTCCCGGCAAGGCAGAGCCAGCACTGCCGGCTCCAGCCGGATCTTCCTTTGCCAGGCTGGGAGGGCCCTGGAGAACCTGGGGACTGGTGGGAGGTTCCCAGCCCACCTGCCGTGATTCCCAACACAGCACCCAAGCACTGGCAGCATTGTCCATGGCTGAGCCCATCCAACATCCCCTCCACCCCAGACAGCTCCTGCCGATCCAGTACCAACATGAGGCCAGGCTGGAAAGCCATCCCAGAGCCCACTCACCTTTGGGAGCTCATTTCAGACTTGTCCCAGCAACATGAGCCTCACGGCGCTTCTTCATGGCACTTTAATATTATTTCACCAAAACAAATGGTGCTTGCACTGCTGGGTAAAACTCCAGGCAGGTCAAGGAAATATCCCCAGGAGGAGCCAAGGCTGGCTTAGCCCAGGCACTGCCAGGATTAACCGTGGGGATTTAGCAGCCAGGGCGACTCCAGCTCAGCTCATCACACCGTCCCACACACTCCGGCATCGTCACTGGTGAGGTCCCCACAGCCAGCAGGACCACAGCACGTGGGCCACCACCACTGCTGGGGGGCCTGCAGGGCTGGACAGAGGGGTGGGAGAGAAATAACCAAGCTGGAAATCATGACACAAAACATGCATTCATTTTATTCACAAAAACAGCCTGGATCGCTAAAACATTACAAACAGCATTTCAATTTAATGATGGAGAGAGAGCTGGAGAGACTGGGGGGTGAACAGAAGAGAAATATCACTTTGCGTAACTGCTTCAGCACAGGTCCTGCAATATTTGTTTTATTTTGATTTTAACTTCTGTAAGTTTACAAAAATTACTTCTAGGAGTAAACCGTTGCAATTAGGAGGATTTTCTGTACGCAGCATTTCTTGTTCTATATTAAGAAACTAACAACGACTCTTTTTTTTGCCTTTTTTTTACTCTTTTTTTTCCTTTTTTTGAATTCCGCCAGTTGTGTAGCAATTGTTTTCTTCCACCTTTTATACCGACCCTCTTGTGGGTTAAACTTCCAGAGGTGAATGGCGAGGAGAAGGGATACTACATCGCTTTAAACATATTCTCATTTATAAACATGAAGTTGAGGCATTCTAGAAACTATCCACTCTATTGTATGATGGGAAAGAATCAAATAAAAAGTATAAATGAGGGTGCAATTAAACAACTGTGCTAAATTACAGTAGTGCTTATTAGTAACTAGATTTTAAAAGGTTACTGTAAATTTACATTCCCTACACAAGTACTGCATCTTTCACACATAAACAACATCAACACCAAAACACAGAAAGAAACTGATTGTCCATACTCTGTCTATTAAGTCTTGGTACTTTACAGATCCATTGTTTTTTTCTTTTAATTATTTTTTTTTGTTTTTTATTTGAAAAGCAGTTAAATGTCTGACTAGGACTCGAAGATGTTAAAACGAACGCAAAAAAAAAAAAAGGAAAAAAAAGAAAAAAAATTATAAAAACAGGAATGAGATTTGCGAGAAAATATTTTTGGTTCTAAAGAGACACAGGTGCATCCATTCATTTCAGCCAAAAATCCCTTGCCTGAGACAACACAAGCAAGCAGTGACATTGCACTTGGATGACAGAGCTTTGGGATTCCCGTTCCTACTGGAACCATCTGAACGCGGCTCCTGTAGGAAGCATCACCTTCTGGAAAGGAAGAGAGACAGGGAGGGGGACAGAAGAAGGGACAAGGCGTTAGGTCAGGTCCAGCACAGGTCCCTGCACAGCACCAGGGCTGAGCAGCCACCCCTCACCCCCAGCCCAGCACCCCTGTCCCCAGGCTTGGGACGGATCCAGCCCAGGCTCAGCACCCTTTGGTGCTGCTCTACATCCCAAGATTTCCAACCCACGATGCCAGCAGGAGGGAGACCGGGGTCCCCCTGCTGCCAGACCCCTCCCTGGCCGTGGGCCATTGTTCCCACATGCCCATGACCCCGTGTCCCCGTGTCCCCGTGTCCCCATATCCCCATGTCCCCATGTCCCCATGTCCCCGTGTCCCCGTGCTGCAGCTGGCACAGTGGCACAGCCCCTGGCTTCCCCTCAGACCAGCAGTGAGCACAGTGGCCAGGCTGTGGGCAGTCAGCACGGCCTGGCACAGCCCAGCACAGTCCCCTCACTGCCAGCCCCCACAGTCCCTGCCATGGACAGACAGACAGACACCCAGAGGACAGGAGCCCAGGCACCAGATGGGTGTAGGAGTGCATTTGGATGGAAACTGGAGTAGGGAGTAGGAGCTGAATGGGCCTAGGGACACCAGAGCAGGAGCTGCTGAGGACATGGGACATGCTCAGCCTCAAGGAACAACCTTGACCCCAACAGAGCAGCCCCAGGCAGCACCAGTACCTCAGCCTCTCACAGGGAAGAGGGATGAGTCCCACCAGGCTCAACCCCACAGCCAACAAAGGGCTCAACAACAAGCAAGATCTCTTAGAAGCCACCTCCAGGAAAGATGGTGTGGGGCCATGCCCCAGTAGCACTGTGATCCTCTGGAAGGAGAACCAGGGATATTTTCCATCTGGATGAGGTGGAAAGCCTGCACAATGTTCACGAGTGGATATGCAATGACCACAATGTCTCAGTGCCAACAGCCCCAAAGAGACTGAGCTGTGCCAGCCAGACACACAATCACCACAGGATCCCACACAACCACCTGAGAGGACCCTTCAGGTCCCACATCTCCAAACAAGCAAGGGACACCAATGGGAAACAGGCCGCAGGCTGCAGTGACAGGCATGGGCCAGCAGACTGGCTGCCATGGGGCAAGCAGGAGCACAATACTGAGCCCATGTGCAGGGCTGGGACACCTCATGTAGCATCCTAAGAGTCAAACCAGGCACATTTTGGTGCCTAATTCCATGCAGGAGTCAGCCAGATCTCACTGGGTCCTTCTCTTGGATCAAGACACCAACCAAGCCTCAATGAAACACCTGAGCAGCATCACCCCATCCCTGTAGGAGGGTGTCCCCTTCCACAGGCACAGCCCAAACACAGGGCTTGGGCAAGGGCAGGGCCACAGGGGCCAGAATGGGCAGGAGCTGGTGGTGCCCACCAGGCTGCTGACAGATCCCACCTGTCCTGCTCCCAGCCCATGTCAGGGAGCAAATTGAGCTGGGGCAGTCACAAGCATCACCCCTTCCCCAAGGTGTCTACAACACATAATCAGACACCTTGGAAGGCACAAGTGCCTGTGCCCAGCCATGCACAGGGCTGTGGCACTCCACCCTGACCACGCTGGATCCCAGCCTAGGCACTGAGTGCAGAACAGGCAGGGCAGGGTGGACTCTCCAGCATGGGCCACATACCCAGATCCATCACCCCAGAGGAGAGGATAGAGGGGAGAGGGATCTCCTCATGGGTCTGGAAGGAGATGTCTGATAAATACCTCTGCTCCTTTCTTATTAAAGGAAGATGGACAACCAGCTCTAATGTGGATGCCCAGGAGAGATCCCCCTCATCCCCACAATCACAGACTCACAGAATGATTTAGAAGAGACTTAAAGATCATCTCATTCCACCCCCTGCCATGGGCAGGTACACCTTCCACCAGACCAGGTTGCTCCAGGCCCCATCCAACCTGGCCTTGGACACTTCCAGGGATGGAACAGCCACAGCTTCTCTGGGCACCCTGTGCCAGGGCCTCAAACCCTCATCATAAACATTTCTACCTTATGTCCAACCTAAATCTATCCTCTTTCAGTTTAAAACGCTCACCCCTTGTCCTCCATGGCCAGAGTCTGTGAGGCTGACATGAGGGTGACAGTGACCCTCACTAGCTCTATCAGGAGCACCAGAGCTCTTCAGCACGGCTTCTCTGGGTGGAGAACAGCTCTGATGAGTCAAATCCCAACTATTCATGGCCTTCATGTGACCTACAGCTCTGCAGACAAGGCCAGGGTGACCTGTGCAGGGCTGGCCAGCAGCCCCCACAGCATCAGCCAGGGTTGCTGGGGCTGGCAGAGCCCAGAGGAGCCTGGTCAGAGCAGGGACGTGCTGCTGCCTGCTCCCAGCACCTGGCCTGGCCAGTCTCAGAGCCCCAGGCAGCCCCAGCACAGTGGGACACCAGCAGTGACCGGTTCTTCGGGCTCTGTAGATGTGCAGATAAAGCTTAACAGCCACTGAGGGATTTAGCCTGTTTTTTTACACCACCATAAAGGTTTAATTCTATTTTTTTTTACTGCTTGATTTTAGATCAATGTTTAATCGTAGCTGCAGCCCCTGTGTGGTCTCTCCAAGGATGCTCCTCTGGATGCACAGGGGTGGCAGGACAGAGTCACTGTCCTTCCACAGGGGGGGCAATGGCACTGCCCCCCACAGACAGAGACAATGCTTCACAAAGCCTTGTGAATGATTCAGCCCCATAGGAAGGGCCACTGAATGGCCCCTCCTGTCCCAGTGTCCAGTACAGGGGTGTGGTGGCACCCCACCAGCACCAGCAGTCCATGGAACTCTGCATCCTGGCCCCCTCAGACAGGTCCCCAACACAGCAGAGGTGCTGGTGGTTGCCCTACAGCTGGCCCAGTGTATGAGCAAGGCTGGTTGACAGGTTAGATTCAACAACCCAGCTTTGACCCGGGTCACCTGGGACATCAGCTGGGGTCATGGTGTCCCTGTCCCTGCCTGTACAACCCTACCAAGGTCAACATACAGTGTGAGTGGATGTTCTGAGGGAAGGGTTGGTCTGTCATGAAAAAGGGATGGTGACACCCTGGAGTGACCCACACCTGCCCAGGCATCCATCCCACCTGCACGGTGGCATCGCTCTAGAGCCTCAACACACCTGGTCATGCCCAGGGGGATGGGGCTCATCTCTGGTGGGGCCCGGCTCTACCAGATGCAGAGCCCTATTTCAGTGGCCTTAATTTCCCAGCCAGTCATGAGATGGGGAAATCCATCACAGGGGTGACTGTTCTCTGGGTTCCTGGTGCTATTTATCACCCCCAGACCCAGCACTGGGAGAAGGGAGCGACTGCTCCGGCTGCCGCGAGCTCTGAGTCTATTGACCCGCTTTAGGACTCTTTGGGAGAAATGAACTTTTTTTTTCCCTTTCTCCCTTTTTCCAGATCACTGACTCAGCAAATTAGAACAAGAATATAATTTAGCAATACAGCGGTTTTTGAAAGACACAGTCCCCCTCTCCTCATCCCCACCGCCCAAATAGATTTTTTTTTTCCCCTTCAGTATTCATTCAGAGCTGATGCTAATTGAAAAACGTAGAACGTGGCTAAGGGAGCAGTGGGCTTTGGTTGCATCTGGACCATCAGAGGATGGGCAAAGCCCTTGTGCCAGGATGCACGATCCAGCTGGTGTCCAGGTGACTTTTTAGCCTATCTGTCTCTCCATGGAGATGTGCTCACCAGAAGGAGGAAGCACACCAGCATGGCTGAGAATGGGGCTGCTCACAGAAAAATCAAGCCTGACTTCAGCACAACACCTGGGTGTGCAGGAAGAAGGAGGCTCTGCCAGAGCAGTGTGTGCATGGGGCACCCCTGCCCTGCTGGCACCCAGCCCCAAGGCACACCATGCCACCAGCAGCTGCCCACAGCCCCTAATGAGTTTCAGACCCACACAACCCAAGCCACCAGACTTTCCCTGTAGTCCCCATGTGAATGTCACACCTCCCCAGTGGATTTGGCAAGGTGGGACCTCAACCCCATGGCTCTCCTCCAAAGCCAAGGACATCCACAAGCAGGCCATGGTGGGCAGTGACAGCCCGAGCAGCTGGCCCACACCAGGGCACCTGGGCATCCCCAGCAGGAGCAGGGATGTGCCTGGCTCTGCTGGGTGCTGGAACAGGAGCGCTGCCAGTGGGGACTGCAGCACTGCTGCCACAGGAAATCCAGCTGCTGCCTTAGGCACTCATCCTGGCCCAGGGAGACCCAGCACAGCCACTCCACTGGGGATGCTGCCCAGTGCACACTGCAGCAGTTTGCTCCCAAAAGCAGGGATCATTGTGCTCCTGCTCAGAGCAGAGTGAGCTGAGGGGCTGGGCTTTGGCTGAACTGTGGCCACAGGTTTCAACATCACCAATTACCCCAAAGTCTGCCCCAAAAAGTCATCCCCCTGCTCTGGGGTTGGATGTTGCTCCCCAGCTCAGGGAGCTGAGGACAGGGGATGCTGTCACCAACACCCCACTGCTGCCTGTGCTTGCAGAGGGGAGAGCAAAGTCCAGAGTGCCCAGGGAGAGACCCCAGCCCTCCTCCCCACATCAATCAACCCCAGTACAGAGCAGGGAGTGGGGACTGGGGGCACTGGGCAGAGCACACATCTCAGGGTAAGAGCTGTTAATGGAAAAGGGAAAAATAAAAAAAAGTAAGAAGTACCAGGTGTTTTATTATCTAGGGCAAGATCCAAACCCAGGAGCGCAGCCCGAGGAGGGGTTAGGGTGCCTGAGAGGGGCCGGTTACCTCCAGTGCTGCAGAAGGCTTCTTTTTGAGTTCTTCACATTTTCGGAATTTGCAAATCTGGTGGCCAGTTTTGCGATTCCTACAACTGCTGCACTGCTCGCAGTTTATCCGTCTTCGGCAGGGCGGGCACATGCCGCATCTTTTCCGTTTCTTTTTCCCCGAATTGATGGCAGATGCCAACTCATTCTGCATGGGATACTCTGCCAAGCCAGCCATATGGAGCGCGCTCTCTGCCAGAAACACGCCGGCAGGGGTCATAATGAAAAGGCCTGGGTTGATGGGAAAAGCCCCCAGGTAAGGAAAATCAGAGGGGCCGTTCATTGTCTCTGCAGCTGAGACTGCCTCCATGTCAGAGATACCAGTCCCGTGCTCGCTTGTTAGAGGAAGATGCTCCTGTACCACTCTTTTGAGCATTTCTGTCGACTGAGCAAACTGTTGGAGGGCGGTCTGTCCTTCTGAGGAGAGCTCCGACATCCGGTCTAATTTGCTCAGCATACTAGAGATGTTTTTGTGCTTTGAGGTAGAATGACTTTTATCCACAGTCGCATCGTTGCCATTGGCTAAGGGGTTGCCTTTCTCTGAATGTTCGCTTACCGAGCTGCTGCTACCAAAGGTGGAATAGTGGGAGAGTGGACGGGACTTCTTAAGACTTTTGTTCAAAGGTTCACTTATTATTCCACTTTTGTTCCTCCTCTCGGAGTTGACAGGGGGTTGAGAGTCATCTTGGTTATTTTTTTCCGTCTCTGGCTTGTTCCCAGTGTCTTGATGGGAGCCCGAATTTGACATGGTGCCCGGAGCACAACAACCAAACCAACCCCAAAATTTAAAATTTAAAAAAAAAAAAAAAAAAAAAAAAAAAAAAAGCTGAAAAACCAAAAAAAAAAAACCCAACAAAAAACCCCAAAACCCACCCTAATGCCAAAGTGAAAGACCCCCAAAGCCCTTCTGGTAGCACTGGCCCGCCAGCCACCGGGGACGCTCAGACGGGGCCGCGCATCAACGGGGCGTCTCCTCCCGCGCTGGCTGCGGAGGACTCAGGGTGCTCTCAGTGCACAGACATACTCTGCGGCTCTGGGACACACCACGCGGCTCTGCAAGGAGAAAAGAAAAGAGAGTTAGTGCTGGCAAGAGCCAAGAGGCTTTTCAAAGAGGCTCTTCCTCCCCCTGCCATGAAAATCTCAGCGCCGCGAACAAAGGAACTCCAGGGAACGGACCTCGGTGGAGATCCGTTCCGCTGCTCTCTAAAAGGGTCACCATCCAGACACAAGTGGGGGGTCACAGGGGAAGTCCTGGCCTGGTAGCAATGGCACTCTGATACTTTAAAGGCTCTCTGTGCCCGGCTCTCCTCCCCCAGGGACAGCAGCCCCAGGGAAGTCACGGGGCTCATCTCCCGCTCTGCTCCAGCGGCGTGCGGCCCCACACCGGACGGGACCGCAGGCGCCAGCACGATGCTCCCGGGCCAGGAGCTGGAGCTCATGCAAGGGGTGCCTTGTTCCCACCCTGCAGCCACCCTTGTCCCCCAGGCCAAGTGCCATGGAGGCAACAGCCCAGCTCCCACAGTCCCAGGGATGCTGCTCACCCAGCTCAGGCTAGGCTGCACCCCTTCTCCTCCTCCTCCTCCTCCTCCTTCTCCTCCTGGACCATTGTCCCTGAGCCAGGACTGGGCAGGGGAAGGAAGCCACATGGAGAGCAGCAGTGTCCACCTTCAAGTGCCTCAAGGATCCACAGCATCCTCCTCCGAACCCCACCAACAGCTGCAGTGTTCACCCCAAATCCTATAGGGAGCTGCACCATCCAATTCTGAGTCACTTCCAGCATCCACTTCCAAATCCCATGGGCATCCATGGTGTTCACCTCCAAATTCCCATAAGAGCTGCAATGTCCACTTCCAAATCCCATGGACAGCCATGGTATCCACCTCCTAACCCCACCAAGGGCTGCAGTGTCCATCTCCAAACCAAACAGGGAGCTGCAGCATCCACTTCCAAGCCTCATCAGGAGCTGCAGTGCCCACCTCCAACCCCATAGGGAGCCACAGCATCCACCTCCAAGCCCCGGTGCTGACCTCCTGCCATGCCCCAGCATGCCCAGCACACATGCCCAGCTGCTCCAGCAGTGCCATGAGCTCAGCAGTGACAGCAAGAGCCTTCCTGGAGCGGATGCTATGCTGCTGTCCCTGGGGCAACTCCGGGGCAGCTGGGTCCAGTGTGGCTGCAAACACTTGTTGTTGTGAAATTCCTCCTCCTCCTCCCTCCCGAGCACGCACGCACACAGGCACCGCCAAGTAATCAGGCTTTAGAGGAGAAAAGCTGCAGGGCTTAATGGAGCAGGAACCCACGTCCCCACCCCGGTGGCAGCTGGGGGAGGGTGGCACTGGGAGGAGGCCCCTTGCCCACCCCACCCCTCCATCCTGGCTATCCCAGCACCTTCCTCTCCAGGGCCCAGACAGGGATGTGACCACGTGTGGAGAGCTCTGCTGAGACCCTCACTCCTGTGTAGGGGTGATGCAGCAGAGCGAGGGGCATCCCTGCACCCCCACACCCCATTCCTGCTCATCCATCACCCTTCGGATCCCCTTCTCCAGTGCAACCCCAGGAACCCCACAACAGCCCGGGAGGACCCTTTCCCATGGACAGAGCTCGGGCATCGCCCTAAAACGCTGATGGGGGCAAGGTCCTTGTGCCAACTACCGTGGTACCGGCTGCGGAAGCAGCCCCGGTGTCTCACTCCGGTGCCAGAGCCGGCTCGCCCACGGAGAAACCCCCCCGCCCTGGCGCTGAAAACCGCTTGCTTCAGCTGCTGCGGGATTTAAGATGCAGCGCGGATCGATGCAGGGCTTGGGCTCCAGCCGGGAGCTCGCCAGGCCACGTGGGGAGGGAGGGCTGCGGCGGCAGGACGGGCTGCCCTTCCCCAGCATCCCGCTCCGCGTCAGGCAGGGGGATGCTGGGCAGCCGTGAGGCGGGGTGCACCCCAAAGGGATGGCGGGGTGCTGGGAAGATGGGCGAGCTGCTGCCACGCAGCTGAACCACCCGTCCCCTCTGCCAGGGAGGTGGGGGACCCGTCCCTGGGGACCTTAGGACGGGTCACACCTTAGTGCCGACAGCAACGGGCGCTGGGGCCGGAGCGGGGAGCGCGGCAGGAAAAGCACCGGACGGGAGGATGTGAGATAAAGCGCCCGGTGCTGTTATCTCACGCCTGCCCGCGGCCGCCTTTCCTGCGGCCCTGCGCCTCTTCCGCCCGCCCCGCGCCGTGCACGGAGCCACGGGCCCGGCCAGACCGGCCCGGCACTGCCACCCTGCCCGCCCGCCCCGGGGCATCGGAACCACCGTGCCACCCTGCCCGCCCGCCCCGGGGCATCGGAACCACCGTGCCACCCTGCCCGCCCCCCCCCGGGGCATCGGAACCACCGTGCCACCCTGACCCCCGCCCCGGGGCATCAGAACCACCGTGCCACCCTGACCCCCGCCCGCCCCGGGGCATCGGAACCACCGTGCCACCCTGCCCGGGGCATCGGAACCGCCGTGCTGCCCTGCCCGCCCGCCCGCCCCAGGGCATCAGAACCACCGTGCCACCCTGACCCCCGCCCCGGGGCATCAGAACCACCGTGCCACCCTGCCCCACCCCCCCGGGGCATCGGAACCACCGTGCCGCAGGGCTGCCGGGGAGCCACAGGCGGCTCCCCAGCCTCGACTGCTGGAGATGCTCTGCAAAGAGCTCGGTCCTGCCCGCATGGGTCCCCCCATGGTCCCACAGCGGGCTCCAGGTGCCAGAGTGGGGAGGACACCAGCTGAAGCCACAGCGTGGTGACCATTTCCACCAGTTCCCATCTTCTTCTGCAGCCACACACACCGTCCAGCCTCCCTGGCGGGTCCCACCATGCCACACGGATCGGGTGCCGGCAGCTCTGAGCCCCGCTGGCCACCCCCTCCCAGCAGCGCGATGGCTGCACAGCCTGGCACAGCCTGGCACAGCCCCCGGGCACCCGCGGCTGCGGGACGGGGCCGGCTCCCCGCACCCACGGAGACACCGGGCACGGCGCCGTGGCCGCGCTCAGCCCCAGCGGCGCAAGGCAGTGCCCGCTGTTGGCACGGGGTGCGGCGCCGAGCCGTGCCGAGCCGTGCCAGCGGCGCCACCGCACAATCCCGCCATTGTCCCGGCCGCCGCTTTGCCTCCGCCAGCTCCCACCATCTGCAGCCACCCGGCGCTGCCCTCCAGCCCCCGGGGCCACCGCGCCAGCAGGCGCCGGACACCGCGGCCGTGCCAGCTGCGACGGCTCTGTCCTCACGCTGTCCCCACACCGGGGTGCTGGGGGTACGTGTGTAGCTCACACCAAAGGGGGGTCCCCCACCCTGACACCGCGGGACCACCCAGCACAGCAGATAGCGCCGCTCCTCGCCAGCCGCTGCCCGGCCCCGGCGTTAATTGCAGCGGGGGGAGGAATTAATGATCTTAATCCCTTCTTTATGATTGACCCGAGTAAAGACGGTGAGGCCCCCCCCCCGTCCCGTTTCTGCCCCTTTTCCGGCCCCCATCCCTTGGGGAAGGCGCCGGGCAGCGTCATCTGGGTCCCTGTCAGAAGGTGCTTAGTCCCGGCCGGCCGCCGCATTAAGGGGCACGTGATGGGCTCCCTCGGCCGGGTCTGTGCACCGGGCAGCTTAACAGCCTGGAGGGACGCCAGGGTTCAAGGGGACACCACCAAGGTCGGGAGGCCCCAACCCACCACCAGGGCTTCCCAAGCCTTTGCAGGACACTGTTCCTCCCCTGCATCCAACCCCCTGCCATGGCCAGGGTCCAAAGGCCCTGGGGTCCCAGGGTGAGGGAAGGCACGTGTGGAACATGTTGTCCTGAGAAGCTCTGGCTGCCCCATCCCTGGAAATGTTACAGGCCAGATTGGAGGGTTACCCAGTTAGTCCAGGGTTTGGAGTAACCTGGTCTGGGGGAACATGTCCCTGCTCAGGGCAGGGGGTGGAATGAGATGATCTTTAAGGAACTTCAAACCCAAACCATCCTGTGATTCTATGATTTCCATGGGTCATCCTGAAGACCTGCCTCCCACCAGCCTGGAATGCTCAGATGGGGCAAGGCAGCCATGCTCTCCCATGACCCTGGTGGGGAAAAAATGGGGTACTCCTCTACATGGGTGTTCCCCCAGTTCTCAGCCCCACACCACCCCTCACCTCCTTCACTCTGCCCCAGGGCTCCCTGCACCCCAGCACACAGGAGACTGCTCTGCAATAGTCCTGACAATGCCAAAATAAATAAAGGTTGCAAAAGGATCATCTCTGGTGGTCCGGAAAAACCCCTGCCAGCCAGGGAGACCGGCTGAGAGTCCCCCCAGTTGCAGGCACCATTCACTGTCAGAGGGGAGCAGGAGAGGAGCTTCACTTTTCCTAAAAAATGACAAGCTGCAAATTCCAGCTGGCTCCCCTGTGTTTTCATTGCATGGCTGGAAAGCCATCGGCTCCCGCCGACCTAAAAAGTCTCGTCTTCAAGAGAGAACTTCTGCTTTCCTTTAATTTTAAATAAATCACCCTCCTCCCAGCAAAGCCGCCGGTTGGTCAGCCGTGCACAGACACGGCGTAAAGGGAGAAGAAAGCAGCAAAGCTGAAGCCGAGCTGCTCCCGGGCTCCGGAAACAAAAGGAGAAAATCAAAATTCTCCTTTTTTCTAATCCCTGGGCGCTGGGTGGGCACTGGGGGCGGTGGCTTTGTCCGCCCGCAGCAGACGGAGGACGAGGACGGAAGGGACCCCGGCGTCTTTTCAGCCTGCAGAAAGGCTGCAATTGTCCCCTCTGCCGCGGTTT